TGGCTGACTAAAGATCAAAATGGTTTATGGAAGTACAACAATGAGAGGAGGAAATTCATGTGGCTGGTGCGGGAGATGGAAGTTAAGACATGTTGAGTTAAAAGATCAGCTAATTCCCTAGCTGACGGTTTAGCTAAACAAGGGGCAGAAAGGGATTCACTGCTTTGGGCTAAACTGTAACTTTAGTGTCTTCTTTTCTCTTTTTCTTCTTTTTTTCCTTTCATGAGGCTCTTTGTGGCTCTTGGAAGATAAGTGTGTTTGTCTTCCTCTTATAAATTTTCTACTGATGATTTAGTGAAAGTGTTATTAATCAAAAAAAAAAGTATTCTTTTTTCTCGAGTATTCTTGTACTCCTCTAACCTCTAGGCTCCATAAAATGGATGCCCTTGTGCAATGCCATACAATTTTCTGCCTTTTTAGGTAATAAGAGAACAAACATGCAGGGAAAAATAAGATATTTAAAGGAGATGTTCATGATGCCCCAAAAGGAAAAAGTGGTTCCATACCTGCAATGCAAGCTAATAAGTATAAGAGGTGGTTTATCCTTTCTACTTTAACCTCACTGGGCATCTCTACTTGTATCTAACCACTGGCATTCAACCTGATTAAGACTGATCCAACCCCAACCCAATAGGGTTGGGTAAAAGCCGGTTTACCACTTAACCCAACCCAACCCACTGACACCCTACTCATATCCCTAACTTGACAATTGGCATCCCCCTTTCCCTTATGGGCATCTTATCTTTAAAAGATAAAGTAATTGATAAAATAGTGGACCTCATGTGCTTTCCCCCCCCCAAAAAAAAAAAAAAAGATTCTTCAAATATTAAAGACACTCTAGCATCCCTGAGCCTGAAAGAAACCAATTCCTATTTTGCAATAAAAAGCTTTGAAAGGCAAAGTCTGAAGGTTGTTCTCTATGATTATAATTCAAGAAACAAAATGCTTATGCTTTCAAGCGCTTTCTTTGGCTTCTCCATTTTCTGGAATACCACCATCTCCAAGTAAAAACAAAATCAAATCATCCTAAGAGTTTCTACCACAGAAAGAATATCCAAAGAAATATTTGACTATAAATAAAATACATTAACCCACTTTCAAGAGTCAAAACACACATAGGTATGCATGCATGAGTAAAAGGTATGTTCATATGTTACCCAGATATAGCAGGGACAACTGGACAAGGCTGGACAAGGTGCAGAAAAATTGATATATCCAAAACATAATGCCACCCTTAATACAGGTATTTGGTTATTTATTATCTGTACAAAATATCTAAATGAACATAGCTATGAAGGAATATAGAATATACAGAAAGTGCAGCCACAGCATGGGCACTGAGAAGTTGCTGTGCTCGCCGGATAATAATGCTTAGTGCTTCAGGTGTTGGCAGTCCTCGTTCATTAAATGGTAACTCCACCCTTGTTGTATCTCCAACATTGGTAGAAGGATTTGGCTGATACCCTGCAGGAACCATTTAAGTAACTTAGTAACATATTAGTCAATGGCAAAGTAGTTCCTATTACAAGGATAATTCTAAGATGCTTTAAATTATCACCATTGAGTGGCAATGCTTGCTCCATGTGGTTTATGAACTCAGAAATTGTGCTCAAAGAATCAGGAATAGGCTAAAGCACAGAAACATGGAAATAATCAGTAAAACCATTTACCAAATCAAGAAACACAAATGATCCACTGGTTTGCAAATAAAAGAACAGAAAATGAATTGAAAGAAATTTGGAACTGGCAATTTTTTAACACAACCAAATATGAAAAAGAAATGCTTTTCTTTCCCAAGGCAATGTATAATCACTTTCTGCTCTTTTAGTTGCAACTTGTAAACAGTGTGAAAGAGGAACCATGTAAAGCTACCATATGAAGTGAAGGAATAGGTACTGCAACCCCTGCCAATGGAAATTGTAAAGATTGAGGCAGAGATTGGAATGGGTGATTAGGAAATGCCTGCCCACGTTGAGCTTGACCTCCTGCTTGGCCGTTGCCATCAACATTCCCATGTGTACCTTCTGCTTCAGTTCCTTGAGAGGAACTGGAACCATTTGACTGGAGAACATAAAAGACATCATTATAACGAGGATACTTAAATGAAAACTGCTGGTCCAGGAAAGCCCAATTACTCACAGGTGTACTAGATGGTATGTTGGTTGTCCCACCAAGGGTCTGGTTCCCAATTCCAATAGAATTCAGAACTGCCCCAATAATCTGAAGTAAAAGCAAAACGTCAAAGCCATGGAGTATGGTCATTGAGACTGACAAGGATAAGCCCCTTAATATAATATGCAAATACTTCAGCCCACGGTGAAATTCAAGAGCAAAAGAACCATCACATCATACCCGAGTAAGATCAGGAACAATGCCTTCACCTTGATCCCCAATATTAAAGGTTCCAAGGACAACACTGTGCGAAATTTGCCCAACCCGGTTACGTGTAGCACCAGCATTACCATCAGTTCCTGTCAAATAATACATCAGTTACAGTAAAACTCATTTTCTTAGGTCTTAAAGGAATTCCATTACATTCAAAGATGAGATGCATGACCAATGAAATCTTAAACAGAAACCCAGAAGCAGATAATGAAATGTAAAGTATGTAAATACCTCTAGCATCATTCTGATTGGTCTCTCCAGAGTTTGTTCCAGGCAAAGGCTGAGATTGAGCTGGCTGTCTTGCAACTAAATGCAGGGTACTCCCATCTTCCACATCTAGGTATAGTCAAGGAGTACTATGTAGAATAGTAAAAGAGCGTACACAGAAGTCTCAGAAACACCCAAATAAGCCAAACTAGAAGAATCTGTAAATGAAACTCGGATACCATGATAAGTAGATAACTAGATATATGTCAACCGAAAGAATAGACAGAATGCAACCAACTTTAAGAAAATATTAGTATCAGAAAAAGTTCTTATAGATGTATCATACCAAATTACTTGATGGACAAGCACACTTTTCCAGCCAATCCATATCAGCTATCCAGTAGGAAAACCTCTAAATTGGCTATGTACAGAATGCCTCCATGTCACATGACTCACATCTGAAATCTACTTAACACTGAATTCTTTATGCCAATCTGCTGCCTTAGAAGTTCCGTTTAAGTTAGAAGAACAATAGTGAGCACCTAGCTGCCAGGTCACATAGGAGATAGAATTTTACAAAGAAAAAACTAAATTCTAGGTCAGTTCCCTAATTTTACATTCCAATTGTCATGCATATAAAATGAAAAAACAGTAATGCTCTTTATTAAGAACATTACTTTTCCTATCAAAACGTAGTTGCCTAGGCCGGTCCCATTTTATACATAAATTGTGGCATTCGGATGAGGGGCCCAACCAAGCACACCTTGACAACTATGATGATTAGGGGAGACAGATAGCGGGTAGCCATACAGTAATTCGCTGTTTCATTAGCTATGTTAGTAGAAATTTCAAAATGGGTGTCATACGTGTGTTGAGCACAAGTAGGCAGAAAACTTGAGGGGGCTCTTCCCTTTGTCAAATACATAGCATGTGAGTAAAGAACTTTGGACCACTAGGAAACAATTTGGTCATGAATTGTTTTTTGATAACATTTGATAATCTAATATAAACAATTATATATTATTTTATTTTTTATTGTTGTTTGCATTGATGTATACATCTATCTGTAATCTGTTTTCTTTCCCAATAGTGTTATTCCATAACTCATATAATCAAATTTTTATTACTAGAACTAATAAAGAATCTTATTTTTTATGTTCACGAGGTCTGACATCCTGTAATCCATGTCCATGCCAGATTCTGACACTAGTACTCAAATCAATGTGACACATTTCATTAGTGAGAAGCAGAAAAATATGAACCAGTAGATCATAAAGAAGAAAGACAAGAAGGGGGAGCACCCAACATCTATGAAAAAGTAGGATACGGTACTCAGATAGAAGATGATCATCCTTTAAGACCTTTCCCCTAAAAATTAATCGTTGCTGCCCAACTGGAACACCAATTTCATTTGCTATTTTCTCCTTGAACAATAAAACAGGCATCTGAAAATGCTCAAAATCAAATCAAATGTTATCAAATAGTCATCACCTAGCCCCATTCTGTAACTTGATTAATGTAATTGACAAACAAAGGTAATTACAAATCTGGTATATGCAGTTTATAATGTGTTATAGAATATGTCAAGATATTTTTTTTTTTAGAATATATGTCAAGATATGGCCATTGTGAGTATAAAATAGGCAATGCAATAACCTGAAATTAACTTTATGTTTCAACTAATGTAGACAAGTAAGGGATGTTGGAAAAACATTACATTTTTGTTAACGTGAAATGTGTAGATCTGTGAGTCCAAAGTCTTAATGCTGAGTTCGACAGTTGAACCTGAACCTTCATCAGTAACTCCACTCATACTGGAACCTTCAACAAAATTTTCATTCGCCATTCTGCTGAAGCAAACAAAGGGCAAGGATACAACTAATTTAATAAATCAGCAAAGAGAGGTAAACTGTTATTAATAAGCCAAGCGCATTACTTTAAAGGGAAAATGGAGGGACCATGGCATAGCAAAACATGTATTTGAATACATGTTTAACAGATGGGATTTATATGACAAAAAAGTAAGGCTTTTACATGGAGTAATACAACTTATACAACAACCAATAAAGCATGCCAAAAACAACTGCCAAATGAATAAGCTCATCATTATCCATCCCTTATCCCAACTATATGGGGTCAGCTACATGAATCCTGTTTCATCAATCTGTTCTTGCCAAATGAATAAGCTAAAATTCAAAAATCAAAGGTTATAATAGAAAAGGAAAATACTTCCCAAATGAATAAGATTAAATTCTCTAATACAAATTAACTAATTGTTGGGATTCTTTGCTGTAAATTAGTTATAAATTAGGCTACAAATCAGGTGTAATTAGCTATATAATTGTTTCCTTATTTAGAATAGATTAGGCAAGATTTTCTCTTCTAAAATAGGGAACAAGTCCTAACGTTTAGGACTCCAATTRTATATAAAAACATGTTCTGCTGGAATAGAAAATACAGGTCATTCAAACCTAATTATTCACACTAATTTTTTGTGGTGCATTTTTTATCAATAACAGAAAAATTCAATTTCCTACAGTGCATATTTAGTAGTCATTGATATTGTTATGCACTAGTATATTATTAATTGTTAGAAGGCTATAATAGATATTTCTATTGCAGAAACTGAGTGGCATGTAGCCATATATGTATAATACACCCAAAAATGATGTTTTGTCTTCCTCTTATCCAAAAACAAGCTCAACAAGAATTGTTGCCTATACATATATTTGGTGTACCCACAAATGCTAAACTGCATGCTATTCTCATATCCCCCCCCCAATTATTGTTTTGCGCAAATCATCAAAAATACAAGATTCTGAAAGCAATATACTTTCAAAATAGTAAAGTGATATCACTAGTTACATTACAACTCTTTCCTTATCTAATGCAGGCTAACTGGATATTTTTCCTTTAAGTGTTAGGTAGGCCAACTAGTTAAAAAAATAAAATAAAATAAAAAACACTTGGAAGAGGTGGAATGTTAACTAGGCATTCCCTAAGGCTTTCTTCTATTCATTCAACTCTTATTTTACTTTGCTAGATTGGCAACTAAGTAATACACCACCAAGGACTCAAATCCTTTTGAGCCTTTGAGGCACAGTATTTTTTTTTCCTTTATTTAAATAGTTTCTAGTACATGTTTGGTTTCCTCTGAATGACAATTAAGATGTATTTAGTTGCCCATTTACAAAGTGGATTTGTGCTTTCTCAGCACTAGAAGCATGCAGCATGCCTATGGGAAATTGTGACATTTGGGCCTCACCCGTTTTTCGGTAAACGGGGGCAGTAAAGTTGATCAGCACGAGAGTTGACCAACCACCCGCATTCATGTTTCAGTATTGGTGGGCCTCACGGAAAAGAATGAATCCTGAGTGGCTCAGTTACCTAGGTTAGTATTACCCTCTGCCCAATTGGGTAAATAACTTTCCCATCCACGGGGAAAATCTAACACATGATGTGACAACATTGTCCCTTCAATAATGACACTTTATGGATAAAACAGTCATTCTTTAACTTTACCTGGAAAACAAAAGTAAATTGGTAAGTGCACTTACCCCAGTAAGTGTTACTTAAGAAATATTTGCTCAGACAAGTGCATTTACCCAGGTAAATGACTTCCTGAAAAAATGAACTAGGCCTTGGTCAAATTTCTAGCAGGCCTCCCCAAGGAATAGAAGTCAAAATATCTTTGAACACATACGCAGGATAGAGATAGACATGACTTCTCCGTTGTGCAAGTCACATATCTAATACCCTTTTTAAACGATTCAAAGGCCTTTCTGATCCTTCTCGTAAAGAATTGCATGTCCAAACTCCAAACTATCCTTTTTTATATTCAAAAATAAAGCTGTCCTTTTGCACAATAATTGACAGGTGAACATTATATCCTCCATCCAAATATTTTCATCAAATATTCTTCTATAAAAAGGTCTTGATTACAAAGTCCTTTCTATGAAAGGTTGGACCAAACAAATTATATGTTTTGCGTATTTGTTTTTCCACCTAATAGTAGTCAATTGAACAAAACATTGCAGACCCAATAGGTGACTACAACTTATCCCTTCTGTTGGTATGTTTCTCACTGACAGTTCTGGTATATTTGGTTGGAAGTTATGTTGCTGCGGGCTATATAGCCAACAGTAAGTGGTTATAGATCCCCCAAGCACGCCTCACCACTTGTACTCACCAAGAAAACATATTGTTCCCATGAGATGTGGAGAATATGAATATGAAACGTGTGATAATGGAATCTCTAAAACGAACATCTTTTAAGCCTTCTTGCATGAAAACAAAAGTGCAGGAGATGTCCTATTGTCACTGAAATAATTCATATACCAGAAAATCGGAATAAACGCCAACGCTATGTCTTCTAATGAATTAGACAAACAAAAGCCAAGCTAGGGCTTAGCATATTGGACTTTTACACTGTACAGTATGAGATCATCAGAAATCCTCAAACTACCACAATCCTAATAGTGCTCAATATACCATCCAAGCATTCGGGTCCAATTCAGAAAGCTATCTAATCAGCAAAAGAAGATACACATAGCCAACGACCTTCCGAACAACGAGATTAAAACTGGCACCAATATGCCCTATGAAAGACTAGTAAGATTGCCGGCCTGCTCTTTTAGAACTTAGAATGCATTCGGAAACTCACAATTAGAAAAAGCATCCCAATAGTTAAAAGGAGGAGGAAAGAGAAAATCTAATGGGATAGAAAACAAACGATAAATGAAAAAATAAAGGCATTGATGTGATTCGGAGCAAGGATGTATGGAATCCCAGCTATTTGGTAGAACAAATCTTTAATAGATCCCATTCTTCTTCAGGAAAACAGGAAGACCATACCTGAGCGAAAAAAAATGAAATCTTCGAGTATATATAATAAGATCAATATAAAACGTACCTTTCGTTATTAAACTCTGCAGTCAGAGAGGATGTCTAAAGATTCGACGGTATTGTTCGATGAAGGGACTGGATGAAGAAAACTGTTTTGCCTTAGTATTGGCTTGCGGAGGAAGACGGATACACCACCCTGAGCCCCGAGTCCCTGACCACCTTCCTCCTCTCTTTTTTTTTTCTTTTTTGTTTATTTTTCTATTTCTATTTTCTTCCTCTAAGGCTGAAAGCCTGAAACTTTTAGTAAATTAGGAAGATTCTAGAATGCGCATCCATGCGTAATACGCATATTTATTTGTGTCTGTTTTTTTTCTTATTGTTGCTAAAACCTCCCCGCTTAAGTTTGTGGTTATTATTGAAACCTCCCTGAAGTTTTGTAATTGTAATAATTTTTCATGAACTTTTCGTTTTGGCTCAATTTGGAAGGAGTATGAATGCAAATATATAGAGTGCAAAATTTTATATTTTATATTATTTTTTATAGATTTATAATGTACATATTTGCACTGTTACATATTGTTACAATCCTCAAAAAAAGTATAAAAATGTCTAAAATATTTATACAGTTATTTTTTATCATAAATTACAAAGATCTTTCTATAATTATAGTGTTAGTAACAAAAACCCTCTGAACTTTTACATTGCAATAAATACCCCTCGGCCATTAAGTCATATGAGAGAAAGCATTAAATTACCAAAAATACTCTGTTAGAGGTTCTCTATTTTCTTCGTTTTGCCATTCTCTTAAACCGAACTGACCCTAAAATACTTACAAGGGAGAAACCGAAAAATACTTTAGACAGGAAGGAGACAGAACTTGGTAAACAAATAGCCTTAGAACTGAAAATACTTATATAAGCAAAAAACTAATATTCAGATTTTGAAAAAAAAAAAAAAGCATTGGGGAAGGGCTAATACATATTAGGGGGAGAAGGAGGGGGATTTATGAATCCATGTTCTAGACTGGTAACGTTGGTTTGTTGGGTTAGGTCACTCAATCTCGAACGGAAGTATGAAACTTTTTGGTTAGAAAGTTTGAAACCCATATCAATATATTTAAGCTTAACATTGAACACGTAAGGTTGCATTTGGAAGCAATGCAAATGAGTGTAAATCCCAGTTCAAGGTAAACTTGTACTCTGGTTCCCTTTTGTCTGTGTTTAGTTATATTACATTTTTTTATGTATTAATAAATGACAGAAAATACATTTTTCAATGCATATTTACATTGATAACAAGATGTAAAAGTACATTTGCATTCAAGTGGGCTTTTGATAAAAAAAAAAAAAAAAACATATGTTTTATTGGAATTTGTGTTTGCATCCATTACAGTTAAAAGTCTGTTTGGTAAGAATGTAAATTTGTCAGTACAAAACTAACTCAACTTTGTAATATATATGAACAGTTTTATACTCTATATATTTGAATTCACACTTATTTGCATTGTTTCCAAATGCAGCCCAAACAAACAAGTTTTAACGTGTTGTATAGACTTTTAGGATGCAACAATTAATGATCTTTGGTCTTTGAAGTCCAACGGCACAACATTAGCACAGTTATTGGAAAATGGGTAAGACACTATTGACGGGCATCCATCTTAAAGCTTGCACTTGATATTGTTAATGAGGTCAAAACCCTTTAGCTTGCGCTTGGAAACAATCCAAATAAGTGTAAATGCAAATATGTAGAGTATAAAATGGTCCATTTAAATTGAGAGTTAGGTTAGTTTTGCACTGACAATTTTATCTTCTTACCAAACAGATTTTTAGCCGTAATGGATGCAAACATGAAATCCAATAAAGCATATGCCTTATTTTATCAAAAGCCCACTTAAATTTAAATTTACTTATTTTTTATTGATGTATTTTTACATTTTATTAACACAAGTAAAAGTGAACCAAAGTGCAAATTTACCCTGAACTAGGATTTACACTCCATTTGCATCGTTTCTAAATGCAGTGCTAGTGTTCCATTGGGAGGAGTGTTTTTTATCCGATTCAACTCCATTGCTAAAGTCTAAAAGAATGGAGGCATCTCATCCCCACAAAACTCTGTGAAAATAAAAGAGTGGGTATGACTCAACTTAGCTCTGACTCAGAACGAACGGTTAGAAAAGTCCCCATTTAGCTAGTATTCAAGGTCCACAAAACTCTCTACTCTAGAGTGGGTATGACTTAACTTGGGATACAAATTTTGGCTAACAATATTTGCACTAATAAATCAATTGTGCTACTTAGAAAGAGGTAGAAAACAAGCATTCGGTTTTAACTTAAAACCGATGTACGACCCTGTTTGGTGCATCTTTCTGCATAGGCTATCGGTTGTTTAGAAGCCCGGCAATTCATGCTTTGGTACTTTCCTATTTGGTTGAGAAATAATTTAGCTACAAAAGGCATTGCCCAGGAAAGATGTCTGAAACCCATTTTGGGCTTTTTTCATCACGACTTCATAAGGAAAAATGCACGGGAAGACACACCTTAACCAAATAGTCTTTAGGCTGCTAAGATCATAATGCAAAAGCTCACATCATCTTTTGGCTGTCAAACCTGCCATAATATCTTTTAAAAATGACTCGCGAAACGGCATTGTAATAAGCTTAAGCCCATCTGCACTAGTACAATAAGCTTTGACTCTTCTATGCTGAAACTACTATCAACCATGCATGACCACCTGCCAAGGGAGATCCTTGGCGGATGTTATACAAGCATTAACCCTCTTTACAAAGTCAAAGCCAGTACAAACAATGAACTCTAGAACGAAGGTTGAAAGAAAGAGCAAGAAAGCTTTATCTGAATGAAACAATCATGAAAGACGGGAGGTAAACAGGGCAGGTGCAACATCGGATTAGATTTTGTAGAGCTGGTGAACGGTGGATTGGATGATATACTCCACATGTGGGCAGCTATTCCAGTAGAAACCATATTCGAGGAAAGGTTGATCAATGTAAAGAAATTCCTCAGCTTTGGGATTAAATGATCGATGGTGATGATAATAGAATGCATGCAACGAGGAACAATCGGTTAGGTCCAACTCTAGGCCAGATGGGACGTCTGAAAGAGCATCATGTGTAGGTTGTAGCTTACTTTCATTTGCATTGCAACCCTACCCCCAATTTTCAAGTTGTAGATAAGTTTTGTCCGATTAGAGAGAAAATTAGTTTTGTTCAACGGAAAAGACCAAAAATATAACAAAATGCAAAAAAAAAAGGGATGCTTTCATAAATTAAAGAAAAATGGTAAAATAAATTAGAAAATGGTAACTTTGGCATTTAAAAACTTTAAATAGCCAAATGAGAATCTTTTTCGAAGTTAATGCTAACAGGGGGTCTTTGTCCAATGGCTAAAGTTCAGGGGGTCTTTGTCTGATGGTTAAAGTTTAGGGGATCTTTGTCACAAATTAAAGTATAGGGGGTATTTGTCACTAACCCCATAGTACAAGGGGTTCTTTGTATTTACCCAAATGTTTATTTTTCAAATTTTAAATTCATATGAATGGCTACGCCAAATCCTTGAAATCAAGGGCGGAGCCAAGAATTTTTTATGAGGGGACCAAAGTGGATTGAGAAGGGGGGCAAGAGTAAATATGGATGGGCCATATGGGGGGCATGGCTCCCCTAGATCCCCCTCTGGCTCTGGCTCCGCCCCTACTTGGAATTGATTTATAAAGTTTGTATTGCTTTGTTTTTTTTTTTTTTTTGTAGAAACTAGCCTCAATGATAATTGTATGGCTATTTTGGACATTTATGTGCCTCTTGATAGAGAATTCTAATAAATGGTGTCTATTTGCAATTGTATCAGAAAGTTTAGGGGAGGTGATTATAATTACCAAACTTAAGGGATGTTTTTATCAATAGTCAGAAACCTTATGGGAGGTTTCAAAACTTTATCCTTTTTTATAGTTTTTCAAGTGTAAAAGACTTAAAACACCCCAATGTTTTCCCTATGACGTCCTTTGTTTTTCGGGAAGTGAGGACGAGTAAGTTGGTGGATCCTATGAAAAATAAATAAACCTATGTCTGTATTTTGGTATTAATGGGTCATATAGAAAACGAACAATTCATGAGCAACTCATTTACTTGGGCAAATAATACCCTCTAGAGATTTGGGCAAGTCACTTACCCATCCGCACAAAAAAAATGTTAATACATGATGGGTAATATTGTCCCTTCAATAATGTCACTTATTTGGATAAAATTGTCATTCTACAACTTTACTTGAGGAATAAAAGAACATTGGTAAGTGCACTTATCATGGGAAACACTTGTCCCAAATAAGTGCATTTACCCAAGTAAATGACTTATACCTTCCATGTTGTGTGACATTGCATGACAAGCACTTTCACTCTATTAGATTTCGGTAAAAAATGAGTTGCATGTGACTTTTATTTAAGTGTGATTAATTATCTCCAAAAATCAAAATTTGCCCTTTTTAGCTTCGTCGTAAGACTCATCGGTATCAAGTTGAGGGCATAGTTTAGGTTGTTTAGCAAATAACCCTCTTTTTTCTTCTAAATAGCAAGGACCCGTGTAATGCATAGGATTTGTCAAGGGAAAGTGAAACAATAAAAACTAATAATTATTATAAGAAAGGATGTAATGTTGTTTAAAATAATTAATATTTATTTCATTATTTTCTTACAACAAGAATTTAGTAATTTGGATTAGCTATACTAATAATTTTAACAAAAACAATAAATTATTGCTAATTACTTAATACAATAAATAATATGTTTGTGTTCCATTTTATTTATTTTACTTTATAAATGATTAAATGTTACATTTTTTTTGCAAATATTAGTAAATATATAAAATTAGGTTATAGTCATAATTAAATTAATCTAACACAAGAACGAGGTTTAAGACTTCGGGTTGGGTCTGGGTTAATTCTCAACTAACCTAACCCACCCAAGAAGTTGCACCCCTAAGAGCAATATGACATTCATAATTGGACTGAACCAAACCCAATACAACCCATGCATGCATCCTTTTTGGGTTTTTAAATATTTTTAAACAAAAAATATTAATATTGAAGTTGAGCTAGCTACGGGGGACACTCTACCCCCATTTTGTAGCCCAATGAACCAACAAAAAAATATTAGGTCTTATTTTAATAGTGTATTAACAGTTTTTAAGGTTGCTCGCCTAGTCCGACCCACACCCAAAGCGTAATAGTATTTGTTTGGGCTTGGGACAAGGATAAACTTGCTC